TAAGAATTAATGGAAAAAATGGAATTCATGTAATGAAATCTGTCACCTCCAGGCCTTTGGCCAAACCCATGCCTAAACTCTTTCTGATAAAAACAATGGTTTACACTCACCTCTCCATGGATTAGCTTGCCCAGCTTCAAAGAGATACCAGAATGAGAGTGTAAGAGGGATTTCTTACCATTCTGTATATAATGATCTCATGGGAGATTTAGAAAGGAAAACAAATGTCAGATTAATAAACTCTTGGAGAAAAAGCAAAAACAATAATAGTAAGATCTGACCACAGTGTATCTTGGTTGGTACTGTTACTACTAAGGGGTTAACTGCTGATGGGCTGAGATGTAGCTCAACACCTTCTCTTCCCCTTTTGAACAAGAAACTGGAGATGGGGCCCAGTAATATTCAAAGCCATGGTCTAAAAGAGATTGTTAATATTCTGTAAGTCGCCAGAAACAAGAAGAATAAATACAGTCTTGCCTAAGAAATTTCAGGAACATGGGAGGAAGCAGGGCATTTTTGTCAAGAGAACACTCCTGGATCCCAGAAGAATCTCATTGTTGGGTACTCAATGTTTCTTATGGCAAGCCTAGACTCTCCTATTGGCAGAAGCCTACTGCAAAATTAACAGGCACACTGTAATTTCACTGTACCACTACTTGTGAGGTGGAGAAAAATCCTTTTTTAATTTTCTAATGTCATTTTATCTCTGATGTTGGAAAGAGATAAACTAGTCTTAACAGATTGACTCTGCCTCTGGATTTTTTTTTTCTCCTCAAGAGGGGGACTATTGACTCCAGTAAAATACAGTCATGTCTCAGCAATCCATTTATTGCTTATCCACTTGATAGGCTTCTCAAACAATATATTTAATTCCAGGATCACTTCCTCTCTGCGGGGGAGAAGTTGCTTCAACTTCTTGATTGTTCTGTGCTTAGAGAACAAAAATTAATTTTAAGATTAGCCTCACCCCAAATTATGATAGTAACCTCCTACCAAATTGCACATCCACCTTTTCTACCATTCTTTCTTTATCCCGCCAATAAATACATACTGTATTCTAAAGATAAATATAAATAACTGCTTAATTATCTTACTTGAAATTATCTCTTCTGTCATCAGCCTCTCTCCATGGGAGGGTTAGAGGCTCCCTATAAAAGACCAGCATTCAGATGAGCAGTTAGTTCTGGTTTGTTTTGTTGTTTTTAGTGCAGGGACCATGTTAATATAGAACACTACAAACTATACTTCAAAACATATTATCTTCTGAGTGGAAAATTTTGACCATGTTAGCCATTCTCCTCTGAAACAGGATATCCTAGGCCAGAGCATTATGCTGGTTTTCAGGACTAATGATAATTCCCTCCCCCCTTGAAATACATTTATTGCTGAAAAGTCAGGTTTGAACAAATTACTACTGGCAACAGTATTTCCCCCAATAGCTCTGAATCAATTCCTAGATCAAAAACTCTTTCCTAGAGAACTATTTATGAATTCTCATTTTGAAAGAATATTATGGATGATTGTTAAGTTCATGAAGTAATTCCCTGAGTGAAGTTGTTACCACACAATAAACTCTCCAAGGCTAAGTTCATCCCGAATCAAGCAGAAGAAGCTCATTAGCTGAATGGTAGGAAAATGACTTGTTACTAATAAAAAAATAGATGATCATGCATATGCCTCTGTCTTGACTTGGTCCACAAGAAGAAATGCACATCTAGAAGCAACTGCAATAACTTCACTTAGCCAAGTGGTTGCCATTTTAAGAAATTCTTTTTGAAATTTAGTCCAATGAAACATTTTATAAACTCAAAAAAAGTCTACTGTTACAAATTCTTTTAAAATGATATTGACTTCTCATTCAATGTCTGAGTTTGGTTTTCAGTTTAGTAAGAATGGAAAACCAAATATTTCCTCTGCATAAAAATCCACAGAATAAAATGATACAATCACTTTGGAAAACAGCTTGGTAGGCTCCTAAAAAGTTAAATTTACATACAGTCCAGCAATTCCACTCCTTGGTATCTGCCCAAAAGAAATGAAAATACAAAGTTCACACAGTGATTGGTATACAAACGCTCATAACAACATGACTCATAATAGCCAGAAAGGTGGTAGCCATCTAATGTCTGTTAACTGTTGCATGCACAAACAAAATGGGGCATACCAATAAATTCACTACAATTCAGCAACAAAACTATTAATACCTACTGCAACATGGATGGTCTTAAAAATTATTCTTCCAAGAGAAAGAATCCATATTGCATGATTTTATTTATATGAAACATCCAAAAAAGGCAAATCTATAGAGATGGAAAGCAGATTTGTGTTTGCCTGGGGCTAGAGGGTAGGAAGAAAGTTTAATTGCAAAGAAGCACAAAGGATTTTTCAGAGTAATGGAATGTTTAAAACTTGCCAGGGTTGACTGTGGGCTGCAAAACTCCATACATTTACTAAAAATCAGTGAATGATACAAATAAAATGGGTGAATTTTATGACACATAGATTATACCTCAATAAAGCTATTTTAGATGTACAAACACAGAGACACACATACACACTGGTTTCCCCATCACCCAGAGAATTAAGTCCAATGTCCAAATTCTCTAATATAACATGAAGACCATCTCTGGTTCCTTCTCCCTTTCCAGTCCAATGGCCTTCATTCCCCACCCCACCCCCCCAACCCCAGCCCACAACAATGCAGTAGCTTTTCCCCTTCCCCGGAACATGCAGTGCTGTTTCAAATTTCTGCACTTTCTCCACACCTGAAAACCCATAGCTCCTTTTCTACCCAGGGAACTCCTACTCATCTTTCAAGATGCAATATAAATTAAACTTCTCCGAAGTGGTCTCTAAGCTGTCTCAGAATAAGTTCCTTCCTCATCATGTTCCCATAGAATCAATATGTGGTGTGTGTGTGTATGTACCATTTCTTATTTGTATTATAATCATTTGTTTACAATGCTACCTCCACTGTGGGTTTTTGTGGTTTGGGAAGGGCAGAAAAAGTATGTACTAATGGTTATTTTATGTTGAACTCTTTGCGATGTACTTTTTATATGTTACTTCTAATCCTTACGACAACCCTGTGAGATATTACTGTCTTTATTACCCAAATAAGGAAACCAAGGCTCAAAGAGGAGATGCAACATGTGTAGGATTACACTGCCAGTAAGCAGGAAAACTGAGATGAAACCCATATCAGCTAGACTCCAAAAACCCATGTTCTTTTCACTAAAGTGCTTCTGGTTTACAAGTAGAGCATAAAGAAGAAAGGATACATATATTTAATGTATTGTAATGGCAAAAGTTGTTAAGACCTGATTTTTAGTAGCCACTTTGTCACTGATCATTTAATGTTGGAAAAGTCACTTGACAACCTAGGCCCCAGTTTCTTTATGAGGAAAATAAGAGGTTGGATTAGATAATCTCCAAAGTTCCTTCAGGCTCTAAAAATTCTGATTCTATGTGCTATCTCGTAACCACCGGAAATCAAAAACACCAAACCAGAGCATGCTTTTGATAATAATCTGTAATCTCAACACAGGCCATGACTGGTGATGTTACCACCCCGCACTACTATGGGCCAATCCCAGCAGCATATGTGCTTGAACAATTCTTCTGCCCTTTTTTAAGCAGCTGCTAAAGAGTAAGATAGGAGTCCCAATTCTGTCTGCATGCTTTATGAGATAGTACCCCCTAAAATTCTACACTGCCTTGATATCCATCTCTGTCCTAGCACAGGCTGTGAATATCACTTAACAAATAAATGCTACCCCACAGTGCCACTCCTTGCTCCAGCTGATCTGCAAGTATTCACAAGCACTGTCTCCTCTAGCATTCCTCTGCTGATAAGCAACCCCCACTCCCTAGACCAACATTTCATTTCTTACACAATAAAGTCAAAGAATCCTTATATGTTCTTCTGTGGCTTAGTCCCAATCTGTTTTTCAAACTCTTCCTCTACTACTCTTTATAGTCCTTGCATTCTCAGCAAAATAAATTACCTAAGGGTCCCTGTATTCAAGGGGGACTTTTAATAGAAGTATAATTTCTGTGTAAACATAGTTTTAAACAATATCATAAATCATGGCAAAGTTTAGAACATGCCTTCCTGCTAGCATACAAACTGGACTCTGTTCATGCAATAGGTTTGTGCACTTCCTTGTGCTGATCCCCTTCTAGAATGCCCTTTCCCATCACCCATGTATTTCAGATTCTTCAAATGAGCTGACACGCCAAATGCCCAATGTAGTAACTGACATGCAAGGATTCAACAGCTGTTTTCCGTCCCTCTCACTAGTGATTTCTGTCCTCTCTGAATTTACACAGTCTCTCTCCCGTAGCTTCCTACTTTGTTGTTTTTATCATTATTTAATGTGAATGAGAGTCCCAGTGATCAAAAGCTCTTGGGAAAACGGGTATTCCGCCTTAGTCCTCTGTGTCCCCAGCACCAAACACACATCGTAGGCGCTCAATAAATCTTCCTTTAATGAATGAAAATAAGATTAGCGGGGCCCACCAGGGTCGCTGCAGGTAGAAAGGGACATCCGGAAATGGAGTGGGGATGGAGTGGAGGTGCTAGTATGTGCCAGGGGGCGTGCTGAGCTCAGCTTTATCCATTACCTCATTTAATCCTTTCAAAAACCCTAAGTAAAAACAAAACAAAACAAAACAAAACAAAAAACCCTAAGTAAGTGCGGGTGATAACTCCATTTCACAGATGAGATAACAAGATTAGGAAAACTAAAGATATTTTGCCCCAGGTCATAACCAGCTCTGCTGGGGTCTTAGGACTGCACCCGTCGCGCGTCCCTCTTTTGATCCATCATTATTCCCTCGAGGTCGGGGACTTTCTGGGACGACACAAGCCCCGAGTCCAGGCAAAGCGCCTGGAGCATCCGAGGGAAGGGAGCACGGGCCCCGCCCGCGGCGTCGCCCGTGACGTCATCACGCAGGGCCGAGGCGGCGCGGCCACGTCCTTTAAATACGGCCTCCCGCGGACGCGCGCGACAGTGTGAGGAGTGGGGTGGAGCATGTGTGGAGCGGGGGCCGCGGCCCAGGCCAGAGCCGCCGCGGACCACGAGGTGGGCGGAAAGGCTGCTGTGCAGCCCAGACGCGGAAGGGAGGGCGCTTCCTCGCAGGCGGGCACGCTCGTGACGGGCGGGAGGAGGGAACATGGCGGCCCCCGCGGCCGGGCCAGCACCCTCCGCGCCTGGTTTTGGCGCGTACCCCTCCCCCCTTTACTTACCTTACTGGAACCTTATTTCCCCTTCCGCCCCCTTTCCCTCAGCCACATCCCTTTTGTCTTCACCAGCTCTCCCTCCCCACCCAGCCCCAGAGGGTCCTAATGCGACAGAGGTGGCTTGGGCGGGGGGTTGGGGGGGGCGGCGGGGACCGAGAGACCGACTTGCAAATTGGACTGTTAGTTTCTCACGTGGCGCTTCACCAGTCCTCTCGCGGTGACCCGGGCAGCACAGAACCGTGGAGGAGGGGTCAAGTCAGATGTGCAGCCCTGGCGACCTCCTCTGTTGGAGTCTGTGAAATGTCATTTAAGTCCCCTGGACCTCAGTGTCCTCAAAAGTGGCTATTTATTCATTTGTTTATTTATTTATTATTTATATTTTTATATTCATTCATTCATTCATTCATTTATTTTAAGATTCTTGATATCCAGGTCGTCTCTGTCCAGGATTGCTGGGCGGAATCTGCCCCGTAACCGCGTAGGGCTGGGAAAACGGAAGCAAGGTTTATTTGGGCCAGTAAGGGAATGGAGGGGAGCAGGGTCAAGACTTAGAGCCCCGTCCCCTTGCGTGATCTAGTTCTGTAAGCAGTGAGAACACCATTCTGTTTGGACTCCCTTTTCCACGATGAGTGTCCTGAAAGTTAGGTTATTACTGGAGTTAAGTTCAAAGGAGAAGAAGGGCTCCTACATCAGCATTGCTGTTCTGGTACAAAGAACCTTGGGAATAGCCCTCCGCGTGCTGCGCTCAGTTTTAGGTGTCCCTGTCAGTGGAGGGCAGGTGTTCCAGGTTCACACCTGGCCCCTGGCCCAGCCTGCCCCCTGCTTTTGATCTTGACCTTCTGTTTTTCCTCACTTGAGTGTAGATTCTGGAGAAACCCTGCGTCCCTCTGGAGCCCGCACTGCCAGGCAGCAGAACTGTGAGCTAGAGTGAAGCAGAAATCTAGGAATATGAGCTCCATGATGGCCATGGGGGAACCAAGGCTGAACTGGTGAGTCACATCTGTTGGTAATCTAAAGAGGAGTGAAGTGGGACTGGTGGCTGGATTATGAAAGGAGGGTTTCCGGCCTGGAGAGATTTGGAAGAAATAGAAAGGTAACAAATTTGATGGCTCAGAACATAACCCCAGTCTTACCTTCACATACTGAACAGTTTTGAGATCTAGCTGATTGCAGTTACCCTCCTAAAATGACAATAATCCATCACCCAGCTGGCTACTAGGTATAATTCCATCATGTATTTATTATTTATTTTTGGTGTCTTAGTGAAAAAGAGAAGCTGGAATTTTCTTGTGCCCGATAACCTTGCCCATTTCTGTACAAGTAATAGAAAAGCTCTCTTTCATTTTGTTATATTAGAATCTATATCGAGTGATATTATGAATGCATAGACTGTGTTTTAGAAAAATATGACTTGTTACGTGTGGTTTTGTAGGGATCTAATACATGTGCTGCTTTAGGTCAATTTAATACAAATTTACTGAGCATCCACCCTTTGCTAGCCAAAGAGAATACTAAAGTTAGGAGAGATTACAGAGGTGATTTAAATAGTACCTGACTCATAAGATTCAAGCAGTATGAGCTCCATAAGTATTTTTTTATGGCAAGCAGTGCTTCCCAAGTTGCTCACTGTCCTGGAGTCCATGAGTTTGTTTTTGTATTACAAGCAAAAACCTTATAATTTAATGAGCTTTGACAGATACAGTACGGTAATAAGAAATTACACTGGTGCATAGCAAGTAAGACATCCTAATTTTTACCATTTATACTTTAATTGTAGTTGTTTTTGTTTTGTTTATTTATGTTTTCTATACACACTTTTAAAAAACAGTAAGAAATGAGTATGGGGCAAAAGCTAAGATTTCCTATTTTGGGAATGGGGCATCCAGAAGTTATCATTTAACAGATTGTTCTATTTTAAGTTTTAGAAGGTGTATACATTTATGCTCATTGTCATAAAGAAGGTGTTCAGATACAGCACAGATGCTCTTAAACGCCATTGACATTGTGAAACCAAATGTAGTTTACAGCTTTTGCACAGTATTGTTGCCCTTGGAACTACCTTTTCCCATAGAATCCTTTTTTTTTTTTTTTTTTAAGATTTATTTATTTATTTACAATAGACAGAGAGAGAGAGAGAGAGAGAGAGGCAGAGACACAGGAGGAGGGAGAAGCAGGCTCCATGCCGGGAGCCTGACATGGGACTCGATCCCGGGACTCCAGGATCGTGCCCTGGGCCAAAGGCAGGCGCCAAACCGCTGCGCCACCCAGGGATCCCCTTCCCATAGAATCCTAATAATGTTTGTCCTTTCTAGATTATGGTTCTCACTGTTTTTAATTCCTTCAACCAGCATTTATTGGATCCTTACTATATGGAAAGTGTGACTGTAATATCTTAGTCTCTAATTATGATGTCGTGGAAAATCATATAAGACCTTTGAAGTGGTTTTAGCAGAGGCACACCATTTGTCACATTTGCCAAGTTAATGAAAATAGGTAGGATATTCAGTCTTTGTAGTGTCTTGTGGCCTGGTGCAATAATGCATGGAACAAAACTAAGTTGAGAAGCATTTTCTTTCAGCAACCAAACATCTTCATGTTATGCCGCAGAGCCTGAGGTGAGCCCTGATCCTGACAGACTCTTAATTGTACTTCAGTCTGTTCTATCTTTAACTCTTAAGTATCTCTGACATTTAATCAAATATTAAAGGAAAAAGCAAGGCGATTATTTGAGCTGGGGAATTTCAGAAAGAGCAGGCTAAAAGCCATCAAGTAAAACATCTAAACTCAGACATCTGATATGTGAAATTAAAATTATTAAGAGGTGATTGTCTGGGAAAGGGGCTGTAAAGGGGCATGTAGTTGTAAACTACAATTGTACCATTACGGCTACTTAGTCTAGCATGAGATTTTGAATTGTCAAATGTAAATAAATAACTTTGTTTCACAGGGATGTTTCCCCCCAAAATGGCCTTAAGACATTTTTCTCTCAAGAAAATTATAAAGACCATTCCATGGCTCCAAGTTTAAAAGAACTATATGTTTTATCTAACAGGTAATATATTTATTTATTTGGTTATTTATTTTCACATTTGATTGTTATTTTTCTGGCAGTTGAAGTTTTATATCTGTATCCACTATTAAACATTCAAATTATAAAAATATAAGAATTAGAAAATGGAAGAACCCAGTACCCAAAGATGACTAGTCTTTGATGTATGTGCATGTGTGTGTATAAATCTTTTTGGACCTTTCTCCACACCAATATAAAGACAAAAATGGGAGGTAGTGCCTGAGTGGCTCAGTCAGTTAAGCATCTGCCTTCAGCTCAGGTCAGGATTTCAAGGTCCTAGGATCCAGCCCTGCATTGGGCTCCTTGCTCAGCAGGGAGCCTGCTTCTCCCTCTCCTCCCTGCTTGTACCTTTGTTGCTATATGTCTTTCTCTCTCTCTTTCTCTCAAATAAATAAATAAAAATTTAAAAAGAAAAAAAGGGGATCATATTATAAATAACGTAAAATACTATAAAACTGTTTTGCAGTTCCTTTTTTTCATCTAAAATAATATTTCATGTATCTTTCCATGCCTCTATGTGTTTTATTTTTTTTTTAAAGATTTTATTTATTTATTCATGATAGTCACACAGAGAGAGAGAGAGAGAGAGGCAGAGACACAGGCAGAGGGAGAAGCAGGCTCCATGCACCGGGAGCCCGACGTGGGATTCGATCCTGGGTCTCCAGGATCGCGCCCTGGGCCAAAGGCAGGCGCTAAACCGCTGCGCCACCCAGGGATCCCCCTCTATGTGTTTTAATCTTAACTGTTGCATAGTACTTCATATATATACTTTTAATTAATTTAGCTAGTCCAATATTGCCAAATGTGGTCCTTTTTTGTAATTATAAACAATACATTGATGAAATTCTTGTAATGTTTATAAGATTATTGAATTGTTTGGTTAGATGGCATATGCCTTTTATATCTTAATAGATACTGCCAAATTGCTGGAGATTTTTTTCCTTTCTGGTATGAACATGCCTATTCAGTGATAATTGTCCCTTCCTACTGTTTGCCTGCCCATAACAGCTCTTCTTTCTTTTGTGATTGGCTATTTCTATTCTGTTGTGGATGAGTCTTTAAACCAAGTAATTGAGTTTACTGGAATGGACTGTAAATACGCCAAGTGAGGAATTGGGGAGCTTCTCTAGAGGAGCCCAATATTTACTTTCATCTTTTCTCCACTCATTTTGCAATTGAGGAAGAATATTTCCAGCCTCTGTATGGAATGGGTCCGTATCTGTTCCTGCCTTCCTCAGTATCCTGTCAATTAGCATCTCTTCCTACTCCTATATTTTCATTTTCTCTTAATCAGTGTTTAAAGGCACTCAAGTTTTTCCCGTCACAATCCCTGAACTCCATGTTACTTTCTTACCTTTTGTATTGTTTGTACTTAGATTTCTTTAAAAACATATATATCTGGGAGGAAGTGAGGGACAAAAAATTATGACATAAAAAAAACGTTTAACAAGATGGCAATAATAATAAGTCCTTCCTTGTCAGTAATTACTTTAAATGAATTAAACTCTCTAGTCAAAAGATAACTTGGGAGAATGGATTAATAAAACAGGATAAAACACTTCCCACTGCATTTGCTTTCACTGAACCCCACTCCAATCTGGTCTCCATCCTCACTGGTCTAATAAAACAACTCCTCTTGGGATCCCTGGGTGACTCAGCAGTTTAGCACTTGCCTTGGGCACAGGGTGTAATCCTGGAGACTTGGGATCAAGTCCTACATCAGGCTCCCTGCATGGAGCCTGCTTCTCCCTCTGCCTTTGTCTCTGCCTCCCTCTCTCTCTCTCTCTCTCTCTCTCTCTCTCCTCTCTCCCTCCCTCCCTCCCTCCCTCCCTCCCTCTCCCTCTCCCTCTCCCTCTCCCTCTCTCTCTCTCTCTCTCTCTCTGTCTCTGTCTGTCTCTCATGAATAAATAAATAAAATCTTAAAAAAAAAAAAAAAAAACCCAAACTGCTCCTCTTAAGATCATCAGTAACTTCTCAACTATGAAGATCTCTTACTCTCCTAGTTTTCTGGTTATGGTGATATTTCTCAGTCTCTTGTGCCATCTTCATTTTCAGGCTTACCATTCTGGCTCATTATACTCTTTGGAGCTTTTAAGAAATACTGATTTTGTACTTTCAACCCATACTTTTGAATCTGAACCTTTAAGGATGTCTATGGAATCAATTAAATGACCCCACTGATATTCATTTAGGTTGTTTCCATTCCTTTCCTATTATAAACATTGAGCATCCTTTTTATACATATGCTGATATAAGTATGATAAATTCCTATAAGAGAAGGTATGCATATGTTTTTTATTTTGATAGATACTGCCAGATTACCATTAAAAACATTTTTTGAAGTGCTTTTTTGATTCATCAGATGAATAAATAAGTTCATATAAAAGCAAGCAGAGAGAAAAAAAAAAGCAGAGGTCGTAGTAAAGAGGCAATTTTAAAAGGAACATTCTTGCCTGGGAGCATAATTATAATGTTTTTGCTAATATCACCTATAGAAAGTTGAGTAGATCCCATATAAATGCATCTATGGATTTTTTAAGGTAATTTTGTTATTCGACTGTACCATTTCATGAGGATAACTTAATTTCTTTTTTTGATTTCTTAAAACTTATCAAATAAAGAATTGCCATTGTTTATTTGAATTAAAGAATGCCTACCAAATCTAGTCTCCTGGAAAAGAGGACAAAGATGAATATCTTTACGTTTTTCTAAAGGTAAAATGAACCTGTATCTTAAAAGCTTCTCACCATTTTATGTACTTTTATCTCAGCCTTCATCTTTTTGGACTAAAAATTTTTAATATTATTCTTCATCCTGCCACTGCTTCTTAATTATTTTAATGGTTCTTTTCAAGTTTAGTTCTAGTCAGCATGTCCTATGTGGGTTAGTCTGAATTATGTAAGGGAGAGGGCATCTTGCTGGCAATTGAGTACAACTTCTAAAATATTTTCTTCTTAGAATATGCTTGTTTTTCTTTAGATTTCTGCATAACACAAAATAATTTATTAGTTTAATATACCTTTTGGCATAAAAAAATAAAGACATGAGGCATTGATTTCATGTATTTCTGTCTTTTTTGCTCACGTTAAATTTTATGAAGTTTTATTACAGTAAGGAATGAATTTTCAGACAATTTACAGATATTTTCTTGATGGAAAAATTAGGAAAAGTGAAAATTTTTGATTAACCCTAATTTTGTGGGTTTTGTGTCCTCCAACATATTTGGGAAAATATTGATACTTCTGATTACTCTGCTTTCTACATTAGGAAGTTTTTATTCAACCCTTCTCCCTCTGTTGGAAGATAAACATTTACCTTTTTTTGAATTAAAGTTTCGGTTGTGGGGGATCCCTGGGTGGGTCAGCGGTTTAGCCCCTGCCTTTGGCCCAGGGCATGATCCTGGAATCCCAGGATCGAGTCCCACATTGGGCTCCCTCCATGGAGTCTGCTTCTCCCTCTGCCTGTGTCTCTGCCTCTCTCTCTTTGTGTCTCTCATGAATAAATAAATAAAAATCTTTAAAAAGATAAAATAAAAAAATTAAGTTTCTGTTGTATATACTTCTAACTGGGTTTTAAGCCCACAAGAGGGAAAATAGCTTCAAATAAAAATTATGAAATTTTAACATGTTTAATAAAGAAAAGTATAAGTCAAATTCAGGAGGTACAGGTAGACTTTAGACGGAGGCTAGAAGCACCATTTCCAAATACTACTTTAAGCCACCCAAACCAGTAGACTTAAAGCATTGGAAACTAAAAGTTTGAAATACGCTTTTTTTTTAAGAAACTTTAAAAAAGGAGAATGGGTGGTTGACAAAATGAAGGGGGAAAACTTCAAACCATCAACTAAAATAAAATATAATGCTGTAAATGTGGATAGAGAAACCCTGTCAGATGCTTTTGGCTTGCACCCTGATGAAGATTTTGACAGCACTGCACACGGAAATGATCTTGATGTGCTGCCATTTCATTCTTTGCTGAATGTAGCCAATTTAAACTGCTAGAATTTCTTGACATTCCTACTCTGGCATATCTGAGTCAGCATCTTGTTGCTGCAGCAGCTTAATTAAATTTGCCAGTTTGTGCCACAAGGACAGACATGTTCTCATATTCAGAGAGACAGCTGTGAAGCAGTATTGTTAAGAGTTGCGGACACAATACTGTTAGGTTTGAATAGCTCTCAAGACATTTTCTAGTGAGAAATCAATTTGCTGTAATACATTTCTCTCAAGATCAGCAGTTAATATTCATTTTGTTAACCTAAAATATGCTTATTTTTATACAGTTATTGGAGAAACTTTAGTAGCTAAGTATGTCTTCTTTCACCTGTATTATTTTCAGAGCCACCTAAACATCCTTATTTTAATTTCCAAAGTTATTTTCCCATTCACTAACGGGGTCTCTTGATTAGTTTTCCATTTTTAGTTTAGCTCTAAAACAGTGGGGTTGGATATTTTGCCTTATTTTGAGGCCCTAAGTTTTTTTCTAAGAATTTTGGCATTTTTAACATAATTATTCTAGCATTATAAAGCTGATCTAAAACAAATTTTCAGTAGTTTTGAGTGAGACTCACTCTTTGTCCAGACACTGATCTAAATTGATAATTCTCAGCCTGATCAGGCCTTTTCATAACAAATATTTATGAAAAATAAGATACTTCCTTTACTACCCGAATTAAAATTCATAGCTAAAAATAGCCACAGATAATATATTTTTAAAGTGTCTTAGATATATAAATGTGAAATCAAAGGAAATAATTTATATAATTGGATATGTAAGTGCATGGATACTGCTACACTAGAAGATATAATGAAGTAGTCAGATACATCAGCTAAAATGAACAAGATTGGATTTAAGAGAGGTTAATGTAAACTGTGCCATAGAAGAATCGTAAAACTAAAAGAGAATAAAATGTATTGTTAGGATAAGTGATAAGAGACCATATATATTTGTATATGGTAAGAGAAAGCCTAAAGGGACCTTTGAAAGTTGGGCAGTATATTTTCATACATTACAATCCAGGCAGCTAGTATTCCTCACCTCTATGTGCCTTTAATTATCCCCTTTCGTGACAACCCAGATGCTGCCATATTTTTCTCAAATTCCCCGAAGAAATTAATGCTGTCATGATTGAGAACCACAGGTCTGAATATTTCTTGCCCCTCCCCAGTCTCCCTCTTAATCCCTGATCAGGTTATCCGTAGGATTCATGGTCACCTATTCAGTAAGTTCAGTTTGGAAACCTGAGGTTGCCGTAGTTACACTGTATTAATATACATACTTACTTTCTTCCCCATTCATTTGTTTGATCCACTTAATTGTAAAGTTTTAGAGAATAGAGACTACATTGTTCCCCAGTTTCTGGCATAAGGCTGGCACAAGGTAGTCACTTAGTAAATATTAACAAATGGGGAGATGAATGAACGAACACCTCCATCCTTCTCGTTAGTTTCCCTTCTACTTGTGCTACTGTTGTTTAATTTGGAACTAAATGAGAGGGAACAATTACTGTGGTGGTAATTAGAATTGTGAAGGCTAAGGAAGTATAGTTGTGTTCGGGTATGTATTTGTATACTTTAAATTCCCTTCTTAAAAATGTAGATTACTGTAACTAAATACTAGGAATAGCAACAGATTATGAGCAAGATAAGAACTTTGTATTCATGTATCTCACTGGTGCAGAAAGGTTTTTTTTTTTTTTTTAAAAAAGAAATTGGGGGTATTGTTTCATAAACAACTATGATAACAGGTTCTCTAGTTATTACTTTCCCCTATAGTGCATTTCATTATGATATGCCAGATTTCCTCTTTTGCATTCATTCAAAGCATAAAGGCATTTCCATGGTCTCAGCCATGTATGAGTGATAGAGGATTGTACAACTTTTCTAAAACCACTGTTGCTTCCGTAAAACATGGCATGCAGTGTTGGAATTTTCTTTTTAAATTTTGAGATAATTAAAGGAAACTAGAAAATTTAGAATCTCAGTTTGTGAACCTGTGACCTAAGCATATCCTGTTTTTAGTGGCTTTTGTTCAACATATTAACTGACATAGCTTACTGAATTTAAGCTTTTGAAAACAACTTGCATTATAATAAAGGTGAACAGGAAATACCTGCATCTATAATTGGCAAGAACAGTTTTCCCTTGTTGAATAAAGGGGGAAAAGTTCCAAATTGAATAACTTGTCTAAGGATTTTGCCTCTCCCTCTCTGTCAGATAATTGAAGGTAAACTTGTAATGTGATCCTATCCTGCAGAATACTTAATTTACACCAAATGGCTAAACATCAAAATGCAGGTGGCAGAGTTAGATAATAATCTAGAATTTACTATGTTAATCACGCTATATTCTCCCTGGTGATTGAGAATCATGAAGTTCCATGATAGTAATCTTCATGTGAAAAGCACATATTTGTAAATTGTATTTTTTTTTCCAGACGTATAGGAGAAAATTTGAATGCCTCAGCAAGTTCTGTAGAAAATGAGCCGGCAGTTAGTTCAGCAACTCAAGCAAAGGAAAAAGTTAAAACCACAGTTGGAATGATTCTTCTTCCAAAACCAAGAGTTCCTTATCCTCGTTTCTCTCGTTTCTCACAGAGAGAGCAGAGGAGTTATGTGGACTTGTTGGTTAAATACGCAAAAATTCCTGCAAATTCCAAAGCTGTTGGAATAAATAAAAATGACTACTTGCAGTACTTGGTATGTATTCTATTCTTCAGTTTCAGTAAACAGTATTTATTTTTTTTAGAAATTTTTTTCTTTTATATCTATTTTTTTATTGGAGTTCTGTTTGCTAATATATATTATAACACCCAGTGCTCAAATATTTTAACTTTGCTTTTATGTTTTTAGGTGCAGTGTATTAACAAAAATGAAAAATTTAAGTTTAATTGACAAAGCATTGGTGCTTCATTCTTTTGTTGGTTCTATTATACTTGAGGCATTTTTCTCTGGTTCTGAGCATATTTCACTCCAGTTCATCTTATGTACTAGCAGAACAATTTTACATTGATCATTGAGCCAATTTTAAGTTTTTGTTTAATTAATTAGTAGTTTCAAGTACTCAGTTATATAAATAATGCTGTGTTGAACATCTTGGTTGCAAACTCTTTGTTCACATCTATAATTGTTTCCTTAAGATAAACTTTTAAAAATATAATTGCCAGATCAAAAGCTATACATGTTTTTAAGCTTTTGATATGCACTTACACAGTTAATTGTTCTGCAATAAGTGTAAGCCAATTTGTATATACCACTATTGCATGAAGGTTTTCTTTAAAAAAATAATATCTTCACTACCACTGCATATTACCTTTTAGCCTCTATTTTGATATGGAAAAAAATGGTGATGCCTTGTTTTATATTAATTCACAGTATTTACTAATGAAAATAAGCCTTTTCCATGTGTTTTTAAGCCACTTTTATTTCTTTTGTAACTTGCCTATTCATGTTCTTTGCACATTTTTTCCATTTGAATGTTTGTCTTTTTTATGTTAATTAAGAGCATTTTATGAAAAAGTGTATTAATTCCTAAATAGGTAGTATAATATTAGTCATTTGCTCTTCTATTTTTACAGAGTTTAGGATTTTTTTTTTAATCGAAGTGTAGTTGATATGCAATGTTGTATTAGTTTCAAGTGTTACACAGTGATTTGAGATTTATATACATTGTGGAGTTTTTAATGACGAGTTTGTCATTATTATATAATAATGTTTACTATTTCTCTGATTTCTGCTTTGGATATGATATTTTAGTCTTTAAATACAAATTATTAGAACAGTGACTGAGAAGTGATTGTTTTTAATCACACTTCTTATTCCAAGATATGTCTACTTTTTTAAAAATCAGGATATGAAAAAACATGTGAATGAAGAAGTTACTGAATTCCTAAAGTTTTTGCAGAATTCTGCAAAGAAATGTGCACAGGATTATAATCTGCTTTCTGATGATGCTCGTCTCTTCACAGAGGTAAAAAAAAAATCATTTATTTAAACTGCCAAGTAGTAGGCAATAACAGCGTTTTAAAACGTGATGATCCTGTGAAAATTATATAAAAATATCAGTATTATCAATTCAGAGACCAAATTGTGTGTGGGTCTTTTATTCATCGTGTATTTTAATAATGGAAATTCTAGCACCTCAAAATCATATACTGTAATATATTAACATTTGGTGTCTTTTTTTTTTTTTTAACTGATCCAACTACCAAATTTGAATTAGATTTTACTCAAATGGATGGTTTGATCTGATGCACTGATTTCCCTTGTGAGAGAATGAATGTTTAAGGAGTTACCTTGGTCATTAAAAATCTGAATGGTCATTTCGTATTTAGTCACATAAATTTGTTTTCATTATCTTCATGGTAACTAGCCATAAATAAGAATTTCTAAACTGTGAGTTCATTTTCTGGTACTTAGATTATTCATGCAAATGTATTAGCAAAGCATGTAAATCACTATACTTTGTGCCCTACCATCATTCAGTGGGTCTATGAGAGATTCAGAATACACTATTTAAATAATAAATACTAATATATATTATTGTATTAGTTTATCTACAAACACCAACACCAGTCTGAATTTTTTTTAGTTTTTAAAATTAGTTATTATATACAACAGCGTGATACTTAACAGTGTTGAACTCTCCATGTGAAAATTAAGGTAGTAAGTTTATGTGTATTTTACCACAATTAAGACAAAACAAAACAAAACTGCTGGTCCTATAATTGGGCGCAAGAAAGGATAATAGTTTTACCATTTTTTAAATACTTTTTGAGGTAAAATTTTGCTATTAATATGAACCAGAAGAGTGATTCTTCTAAATAAAAGGAAGAATTGCATTTTTATTTTCTCTGAACCTACATATGATACTTAAACCAAGTGTCATATTTTTCCCTATGGAGAAGTAATTGTAGCTATTCTTATTTTAATAGTGGCTTTGAAGGGACCAGAATGATGGTTTTAAAACATAAACCAGGGATGCCCGGATGGCTCAGCGGTTGAGCATCTTGCCTTTGGCTCCTGGTATCGAGTCCAACATTGGGCTCCCTGCATGGAGCCTGCTTCTCCCTCTGCCTATGTCTCTGCCTCTTTCTCTCTGTGTGTCTCATGAATAAATAAATAAAATCTTTAAAAATAAATAAAACATAAATCACATCCCCTCATGTCATTGATTTAAAATGTTTTCTCGGTTTACTCAGAAAGAGAGGGTCTTTACAAAATTGTACAATGCCCTACATGATCTCACTCCCTCAACTCCTCCCTGCCCCCAGCCTCTTTCATCTTCTACATATCTTCCTCAGTTGTTCTGTTCCAGCCTACTGACTTTTTTATGCTACTTTAATACTCCAAGCATGTTCCTGCCTTAAGGTTCTTGGCTCTTGCCATCTTTCTGGCAAGCTGTTCCCCAGATAAACGCATGGATTAGTTCCTTGATTTCTATAAGTCTCTCTTCAGATACGAACTATCAAGATATCCCTAATTATCCTAAAACAAATAGCATCACTTTCAGGGTTCCTTTTACCATGTTTTATTTTACTCTTTTTTATTGTCCTTCGCAACACCTATACATAAATAGGTGCACTGCTTTGTTCCTAATAACTGAATAATGCTTGACATGTAGTTAAGTTCTCAAGTGCTCATTGCAATTATTTAGTGAATATAAAAGTGTTTATTAGCGAAGTACACAATTTGATAGCCAACAATCAGCATTAAGTCTTGTTTTTTAGTCAGATTGACTTGGCAGCCTATTTTGTCTAATTTACATTTTACATCTCTACCCTAAAGGTTCACTGATATTTTTCTGATTTTTTTAGTGTTTTAAAATTTCAGTTTTATATTGTGAAATGCAATATGTTTATGGAAAAGTATGTAAAACAAATATATATATATGGCTTAACAAATAATTATATAGTGAATACCCATGTAACTCTCTTCCTTTTTTTTTTAACATTTAAAAAATATATATTTTATTTATTTATTCCTGAGAGAGAGAGAGAGAGAGGCAGAGACACAGGCAGAGGGAGAAGCAGGCTCCACGCAGTGAGCCTGACATGGGACTCGATCCCAGGTTTCCAGGATCAGGCCCTGGGCTGAAGACAGCACTAAACCGCTGAGCCACTAGGGCTGCCCGTAACTCTCTTCCAAGTCAAGAAATAAAACATTACCACTATCCTAGAAGCTCCCTGTGTATCCCTCCTAATGGAACATTCTCTCTCCTTGAAGAACTAATCACTGTCACAAGTTTGGTGTTGGTAATTTCCATTTCCTTTATTTTGGTAGTTCTCTGAGCTCACTTCTGCTTGTTTTTGAGTTTTATGTGAACATAATTATTCCTTCACTCTTGTTTGTAAGATTCATATGCATGTATGTGTGTAGTTATAGTTCATTCATTTTCATTTCTGTGCATTATTATATGAATAAACTATAATTCCTCAATTCCTTTCTTTCCCTTAAACGTGATCTTTTCAAGAACTTGGGTCATTTGACTTGTAAAGTTTCCCACAGTCTAGATTTTGATGATTGCTTATTCAAATGGTGATATTCAACATGTTCCTCATTTCTCTATATTTTTTACAAATTATTGATGGGATCTGGAAGCTTGATCAGAATTAGTCTTCGCCAAATGGATTCAACACATAGATGTTGTTTTCTTTATCAGGTGGCACATAACATCTGATTGTTTCTTTTTTGTGGTGGTTGCAGGTGTTCATGTTCAATGCCTAGGTGTATTCATTCACTCGGGCTTACAAAATTGTAGGGTTCTAGTTGCATCATTTATTTGTATTTATTGGAAAAATTTTATTAAGATATGTTTTCACTCATCTATGTGGTCTCCTAATTCATGTAGTAGAAAAAAAAATGCTAGATTATTTCCCTTTATATGCCAGTTTTGAAAAAAAAATTGATTCCAATATTGATCAGTTTTCTTTTTTAAAAATATTATGGGTTTTAGTCCACTGTAATTACACTTTTTGAAGCTCAGATAATACCAGCTTTAGCCGATGACAGCTCTTCATAAGGCTTTTGAGTCTTTTTGAGTCTTTGTGGTAGTCTTTGAGACTTGTTTTGTACATTTCCTGTTTCAACTCTGGAATCAGCCATTTCCCAGAGCCTTTGTTTCTTCCAGTGGGAAGTGGTATTTCAAGACTACAGTTTGAAAAAAATAAAAAAATAAAAAAATAAAAATAAAAAATAAAAAAAAGACTACAGTCTGGGTACTGGGGATGCTCATTTTTCCTGGATTGGTCATTGTTTTGGGAATATTTCAGTAAAGAAGCTAGGAAATATTTATTTAGAGAAAAAAATATCACATGTGTCTCACTTTATACCACAGGCAACAACCTTAGAATAACAGGGCTATCAGTCAATAGGATACTGAAAGCTGGGACGCCTGGGTGTCTCAGCGGTTGAATGTCTACCTTTGACTCAGGGTGTGATCCCAGAGTTCTGGGATCAAGTCCCACATTGGGCTCCCTGCATGGAGCCTGCTTCTCCCTCTGCCTGTGTCTCTGCCTCTTTCTCTCTCTCTGTCTCTTATGAATAAGTAAAATCTTAAAAAAAAAAAATACTGAAAAGTATTTGAAAAAAATTTTTTAGATGTTCTCCCTATTCTCCCTTTTTTTAAAAAAAAGTGGTTCTTTATGTTGTTAGAGCATACAGTTATTACACACTAAATAAGCTCTTCCTGTTTAAGCCATATTTAATAAGAATCCATTTTCAGTGCATGTCACTGAGTTTTCACAAGTGCATATACCTGTGTAACCATGACCACAGTCATGACATAGTATATTTCGGTCACACTAGAAAGATCTCTATGTCTCTTTCTTTCCATGGTCTAGGAAACCACCAGTATGCTTTTCTGTCTCCATGGTTTAGATTTTCCTTTTCTAAAGTTTCAAAACTGAGTCACACACAGTGTATTCTCGTGTCTGGCTTTTTTGATTCAGCATTTTTTTGAGATTCATCTCTAGTGACACAAATATGCATAATGTGCTCCTTTTTATTCCTTTTTGTTTTATTGTACAATTATACCAAATCGGTTTATCAGTTCAGCGCTTGATGGGCATTTGTGTTATTTTCAGTTTGGGGCAATTATGAATAAAGCTACTATGAGCATTCTTACACAAGGTTTTTTTTTTTTTTTTTTTTTTTTGAACATGTGTTTTTATTCTTCTTGGGTAAAGAACTAGAGTTAGAATTTCCAGATCATATGGCAATGTTATTAGAAACTGCCAGACGTTTTCATAGTGGATGTACCATTTTACACTCATAAGCAATATATGAGAGTTCCAGTTGCTCTGTGCTTTTGCTAGCACTTAGTATTGGTAATTTTTTTTTGAAAAGTAAAAAGTAAAGTTTTGACCTCCAGTTTCATCTTTTTCCCCATTGATGACCTTGGTCAAACCCATGTAATTCTTTTTTTCTTTCTTTTTCAAAATTTTATTTGAATTCTAGTTAGTTAACTAATAGTGTGATACTGGTTTCAGGAGTAGACTTTAGGAATTCATCACTTACATATAACATCCAGTGCTCATCAGAACAAGTTCCCTCCTTAATACTCATCACCCATTTAACTCATCCCCCACCTACGTCCCTCCATCAACCCTCAGTTTGTTCTCTGTCATTAAGAGTTTCTTGTGGTTTGTTTCCCATCCTTTTTCTTTTCCCTTTCCTATAGGCTCACCTGTTTTTGTTTCTTAAATTCCACATATAAGTGAAATCATATGATATTTGTCTTTCTCTGACTGACTTATTTCGCTTAGCATAGTACACTCTAGCTCCATCCACATCATTGCAAATGGCACAGTCTCATTCTGATGACTAAGTAGTATTCTATATGTGTATACACACACACACACACACACATATATTACACAGACCACATCTTCTTTATCCATTCGTCGGTCAATAGACCCTTGGGCTCTTTCCACAGTTTGCCTATTGTTGATGATGCTGCTGTAAACATCA